ATCCATCCATTCATTTGTTCATCCATTCATTCATCATACCACTGTATGCTCCACAGTTATCTTTAATACTGTCTTCAAGAATGATTGGTAAACCAGAGAATTCTTGAGTGCGACACAGCTCCATGACTGATGGCTGTCAATCAAATGGTTCATTATATCAGTGTTAATGAATTCAGTGAGAAATTTTAGTTGTGTTACTTACTGCTGTCATGCTATAATTCTTAAAACTCCAACATTTTCCATCATCCTTTCTYGCTGATAGCAGACCAGCAATGCCATGTCCAATGGCACATATTGGTTCTGTGAAAATATTAGCATRATATATCTGATTGGRTGAACTGACTGGTTAATTGATTGACTGATTGATTGATTCATTTCATTGGTTGGTTGATTGACGACTTTCTTTATAATTGGTTGATTGTCTGGTCTAATCAACACATTTATTCAACGAATCAAGGAGAGCAGTATTCTTCCCTTGTATTGATGAAATAATATGCTTTATACTTACTTCTTTCTTTGATAAAGATATTTAGTAGTTTAGACAGTTCTTGATCCTTTACCAGATCATGRAGAGCCCCTGGGGCATTAGGAATGAGGACAGCAGAATAGCGCAGGGCTATAGAYACAAAAACATACAGTAAGTCTAACTAATAAACTGGGCTACCTGTGGTAATCATAGTGATGATTACTACACATCATACCATCTACATTCTCCAGTTTTCCAGGAACTGAGAAAGGTTTCGATTTGAATTCATTAAGCCACTTTTTATTACTCTCGTCTGCWTCAATATATTCTATCGGTTGYCCCTTCAATCAAACAAGAATGACATTGTCAATCATTAACACAAACATTTGAATTTATCATCYCAGCAAATCTATCYTCTTTTTACACCTACTTTTGGCGTTGCAATCTGCACGTTAAAAGCTGAATGAGTTAGWGTAAAGGCTGGAATAAAAGACTGTGCAGAGACGCCTAGATAGGAAAATGAAAAAAGAAAAATAACTTGGTTATAAAAGTGACACGATTCTCTTTCATACTGTACCATTTCTTCCAACCACTTCCATAAGCTTCAAGAAGAATATAGACTYCCTACTGATGCCGTAGTGACAGTTGCTTCTTGYTACATATCTCAAGGATSGGYAAAAACACGAAAAAKACTGTACCTGAGCGCGARGAGCTGCAGACAATCAGACAGTTCGGTTTGCCCGCCATCTTGTTTCCGCTTGAACAAAATCCTACCAGGGAGGGAGGGCTGAAAAGTCCATTTAGRACTAATTCAAAATAATCTAATTAAACTCATAATTAATCATTTGAATATTATTTTTTTTCTCAATTTTATCTAGATCCCATAAATCAACAAGAGTGAGTCAAAAAAAGGAATAAAYTTGATAATATTTTGTGGTGAAAYTTTTGATTGTATAGTCCACCCCGGAGAGATCATTTTTGACACCAAAACTTCTACTKACTACTACCCCACTGGTTAGTTTAGTTGKGCCAACCGTTTCAAAATGGCGGCCGACTATCGTCCTTAGACTTTTGTTGACTCCAAAAAACAGGCATTTTCATTGCTTAAAGATTCTTCTTTTAATTCTATATTCTCAATTCGTCAGGAGCAATATATCGACATGTTCAAGAACGAATTTCAGGTAAWTATGTATGAGATTTGACAAAGTTTTTCGCCTTCTTCAAGTTCAATTGTTTGAGAGGGTTTTGGTTTCAAAAGATTGCCCTGAGTTACCTAGTTACCGTGGATTTACGGCAGGTACTTTAATTAACTCRAGTTTTTTTATGTTTTTCTTACAGGGAGGCTCATTTGTTGAGGTATTTAGCGCTCAGGGACGCGACCCTGTGTCGAAATGGCGTCTCTCGGGCAGTCAAAGCGCTTTCAAGAAAATATTTGATAAAGAAGTTAAAAGCTATGTTTACGTCCTCGAAGGAGAGTCTACTACTACGAAAATGAGCATACCTAAAGACGAAAAGCAGTCTTTGTTTCTTATACAAAAATACCTCGTCTTACAAATCCTGGTTCCTTTAGGGCACTCGTTTAGCTTTGAGCTTGGGATCACTGATTTGGGRAACAATAAACGAAGGATTTTTTTGTCTTCYAGCCATCGAGATATTACTGTCACTCCTTTACATGCTAGATTTCCTCTGAGTATCTTAAGATTAGGAGTATGGCTTAATTTATGCCTTGATTTYAACTCACTGGTTGGTGAGACTTTTAAAGAACAAACATTCAAGTCCATAGATAGCTTAACACTATCTGCTAACTGCCATTTAAGGAAGATTTTTACCATGAAATACCAGCCACCAGATACAACTGACGATGATGAGGTATATGGGTGTAATAGGGGTACAAATGCAGGCGACGTTGAGCCTATTCCAAAGTCAATGCAGTTTACTACTACAAATCATCAAACACAAGTAAGATGTCTTAGATAATATGACTTTATCATCATCATTTACYTCATCATCAGCATCTTCATCTTAGCTATTATCATCATCAGAATATGTTTTCTATGACAGACAGTGCATTGTAAGGTCATAGAATCATGACCATGGTTTAGACATCAGAATATATGTAAATCATTGAAATAAGAAAACGTCACATTGTATCGTACAGTGCATTACTGTTTATACTCATACAAGATCTACTATTATCATCATTATCATGATATATGTTATCCTTATTATTAAATATAATTGAAAATTTTCACTGACTAATGCAGTATATTTTTAATTCATAACAGGTCATCAATCTTTTAAAGTTACGGCAGGCAGACATCAAAGCWCGAGAAGCTGCTGGCCTCCCTCCCCCTACTACCCCACTTGTCTCTGACATTGATGTATCAGCATCAAAGCAAGAAGATCAACCAACCCATATAGCATTTGGATCAAAAATTGTCATCCCAAGYCATGCACGCAAATCATCCAGGGAAGGCGGTCCCAGTTCTGCAGGCTCCAGATCTTCCTCCAATTTATTCCACAGAAGTAGCTCAATTAGTAATGTTAGATCAGGCTCCCCRCTGGATTTAGACTCTAGTACTAGTTCAACTACTTACAGAGGAAAAATCCAAAGATCGTTATCAGAAACAGCAGAAGTTGATCAATCAAAATTACAGCTTGAAGTTGAGGCATCYCCAACATCAATTCAACCYCGTCCTCCCCGAACAGGATCAGGAAATAAGTCAAGYKGAAGACCTTTAAGYGTTAGAACCAAAGGTGGGGCAAGCTCTAGAAGTGCAGGATCCAGGACTAACTCTGAGAGTGATAAGTTAGGTGACAGCACATCTAGTTATGGGAAACCGGACGGAGCATCAACAGAGAGACATATTTACAGAGATTCAGACAACGAAACCATTTCACGGTCTCACAGTGAAAGCTCTCTCAAGGCCTCTGGAAATGAAAGCTCACTTGGGGAAAGCTTTAATAAAATGAAATTAAATGAACAAAAATTAGGAAATGAACTAACGGAAGAGAATGTAAAGAAAAATGACATGATGTTTACATTCTCTTCAAGGCCAAGGTCGGCTCCAAGGTCACCACGCACTCGCAGGAAACGTCAAAATGGTTTTCCAAGTCGAAGCTCTGTTGAAGACAAACCAGAGATAGAAATTTCTGAAAATAAAGATACCTTACATGTACCTTCGACCAGGAATAGAAGAGAAAGTGAGAAATCAGAATATGAAGAAGACTTRTATAAAAATGACTCAGAAAGCTCTGATGATGATCTGCTTCAGAAATTATTAAAGAGTAGTCATACTTCCAGGTCAAGCTCCAGAGGATCCAAACACAGCCCCAGGAGTCCACGCATACCAGAAACATCACAGACACCTCATGTACTAAGAACTAGTATTAAAAGTAGCTTATTGAAAGAGGTATGTATGACTAGTTTGCTAGTGTATTTTCAGCATTACTGGTGTTATAGCCTGCATTACATTCAGARAAACCATGGTAAAGGCTTGGTTTGTCCAGATCTGACGCAGGKTGTGGTATTATTGCTATAGGACTTGTGTTGCTGGTATTTCTTCTCTCAACTCAAACCAACCAGGATTAAATTTCATTTTAAAAATCATTTTATATTCATCAATTAATATTCATCATTATATGGCATAATTTGTTTAGATCCCATCCTCAGTAATCGCAAGTAAAACATATGATTCCAAAGCRTACCAATCAAATGCAAGCTCRTGGAGGAACTACCAATCAGAAGCCGGAAGCTCATGGCGAWTTGYTACCTCTGATAGTAGCAGTTCWKTGCTTGATAAGTCACTRAACAGCTCYTTRGGTGATGATGGACCATTGATCAAAAAATTTTCAACAAATACTGTTGATGATGATGATATTGTTAATAATGATGATGGTGATTCGCTGACTGATAATGATAGTGACGAGACTTGCAGTACATGGAAGGCTCCTCCGCCAACAAGACATCACASATATCAAGATGAAATGAAGGTTAGAGGACATAAAATGTATTTTATTGACATCCTATCCATTATGTAGRAGTCATGCACACTTCTGTATGTCTATGCTCAAATTTCACAAATTATTGTTACTGAAATCCCTTGTTTAATTCTCAAAATGTGTCTTAAACTTAACAGCATCCAGGCCCTGAACCAGACATGTCAGCCACACTTCCACATGACCCTAGAGATTATGTTGATGTGTTCAGCCCACCTATCGTTATGCCAAGTGAAAAATTTACTAATGGTAAGGTCATTGCAGTATTGCTATCTCATTTCTATAACTGTCTATTACCAATACATTGTCATCGTATATTTGTAGGTCCAAATCAACCTCAGTTACATTCTCCACCAGCAAGAGAGCCTGTGGTAAAATACTCCTCTGATCCCAGACCAGTAGCCAATCAATCAGTTGAATTAGAGACAGAGCTTGACCTTCTGTATGACCCATGTCTAAATTGTTACTTTGATCCTAAAAGTAACAAATACTATGAACTAGCATAAACAGTCTATGACTTACCCCTCCCCTGAAGAAAAAAATATCCCTCCCCCTGAGGGGAATATTCCTGGATGAAGCGAGCATAGACAGTGTGGAGTGTATTTAAAGATAAGCCACTGCCATTCCCTTTTTTTTCCATTTAAGAGGTATTCTTGACTGGCCCTATGAATAACATCAAATAACAGAGACTAATYAAAATTTCTGGGGAAAATTTTGCACAATAGAGAGCTTAAGCATGACATCCACAGCAAGCGGCAAACGGCAGAAAAGATCATTTGACCACCTTTTTTGTACCCTGGGAACCAGAGGCTGGATTTACTCGTTCTTATAGTTTATATCCTTGAGGCCGAAAGCCGTCGGCCTTCGGCCTCAAGGACGGCGCTTCGCGCCGTACATAAACTATAAGAACGAGTAAATCCAGCCTCTGGTTCCCAGGGTACCTTTTTTGGGGTTTACCATAAAAGTTTCAATGCGAGAGTGGGCTATTTTGGGGTTGCCATAATCGTGAAAAGTCACTCTTTAAAATGACTAGCAAAAGCACAATTAGGTCAGGCATGAAATTCTTAGGTCATTAGTCCAGCTCTGTCCTTAGCTGCTTGTCATTAATGTGATGCTTAAACTTTCTAATATAGAAAGCAGAATATTGAACTGTACAACATGGTATGATTTTATTTTGTACTCCTACAAAATCAACTCCTTTCCTTTTCAGAATGATGTTTCAGTTTGGGAAGTTTATTTTTTGGTTACAATGTGTTATTAATTTATTGTGCAGAGTAAGATATTCGTATGTTATTGTGTGAAGGTGTTCTATTGCATATACAGTATTTAATGCTTTTTAATGTAAATAAAAAATATGAATCATGATTATGGTTTGAGAATTCTGATGATCAAGGTTGTTCTTGGAGTGATCCCATGTGTTGTTTTCACTCCTTGAATTTTCACMTTTAGRAGCAACATTTACAAGAGAGCTAACTTGGWCCAAGTTATGGAATCACTATAGTTTCTTYTACATGAAGGACACRGATYAAACCTMACAAAAAGAGCAATATGTCATAGAGGACTTCAAGACTTGTTTTCTTTGGTTGTCTCTTATTCTTAATCAGCTTGTGCTTACTTTATTCCATAACAACTTTCTTTGTTTTCTACTTTTGAAAGTTTGAATTGCTTCAAATGARATAAAAGAGTGTCTGTAACGTGATTATTTTATATTCTTGCATGGTTTCTATTTTCTATCTAGCAAAATGCCTGCATTCAAAAATAGTAGATCGGAAAGTGCACAAATACAAATATAACTTTCAAAATGTTTTGTATTAAACATCTCGCTGTAGTAGCTACATGCCTAATGAACATTTTTCATTCATAGACATACATGTATCACCCATGTGTAAAMATGACATTGTCACATATCACTCCTGTTTCAGTACAAGTAGTTCAGTGAAATTAAATGCACAAAAACAAAACAACAACTGTATGTTATATATCAAAGACATTGTTACAAGAATTTCACCCACTAATAGTTTTATTCATCCATTTTGTTGTACAATTTTTAAAATAATATGAAATAAAAATTATCAAATCAATATACTTAAAACCTTAAATTTCATATGATGAAGAATAAAATTCTTTATAAATGAGAAAGGACATAATTATTCAAAAGGTCAAAGTCCTGACAAGAACCCATTAAATAGAATCAAACTGAATTCTGTATAATTATGCATTAACCCATTAAATATAAACAAACCAAATTCTGTATAATTATGCACATTTTTGTATTAAATACACTCACTATACTAGTGGCTACATACATTATGCACAATTTCTGCATTCCTAATGAACATAGACATATCACCCATGTATGAATACAATATTGTCCCATATCAATCCTTTTTCAATACAATATGCTTCATCCTAAGATGATATTCATCATCAAGACTGAAAGTCGATAGTGCAATACCCAACTGACCAGCATAGTATGTTGACATAATAAATATCTGAGCATATGGCACAGGAAAGCAGAACATATGTAATCCAATGATCATATCTGAGATTCCAAAGGTTACAGCTCCAAGACAGGAGCATAGCTTGGTCCAGCGCCATAGTCCTTCATCACTCCATAACTGTGCCTGTAATCCTGTTACAGCTCTCCAAACCATAATACTTATGATAACAATATATATTGGAACTGCAACAATCAATAATCCTTTAAGGTTTGGAAAATAGACATGATAGAACGGAACTGTTATCAAAAAACATATGATTCCAGTTAATGGTTTCAGTGGTTGAAAACCAAATGCCCTCATGTATGATAGATGTGCTAGTGCAAATGCCAACATCCCATGGATAAAAAACTGCTTTTTCCAGACAAGACATATATCCCCTATTGCCGACAGTATAAGGCCTATGAAGATACGTCGACTGTAGTCATGGTAACGTTCAAAAGTGACACCTTGGAGTAGGACAAAGCCACATAAGCATATTATTGGGAGTATCTTGATGGCAGCATGGAAAATGTTGGAATTTTCTGACTGGCCTGCTACAAAATATATGCAGAATGCTTTGAAGAATGGTACTAGCTTGGGTCCAACACTTTTAAACTAAAATAAAAGATATATAAAACATAAATTATGTCCTGTCATTTGTATGTAATTAGAGTTATTCTTTAATGAGACCTCCTACCATGCTTTTGAAAAGATAATGGGTGTACTGTCATGTGACAGAACGCACTGAACCACAACCGAACAACAAGCACATGCGGTTATAGCACAAGCGATACAACGCTTGTATAAAATGAAAACCGAAAAGAAACATACAAATTTTATTCATTGGAACCTTGTTTTTAGATTATTTTCAAAATTTCTTCCTTCGTAACTATTACTTTAATACCGCAGAAAAAACTAGGACTGATTTTTTTTACAAAGTACGTAAGTAATATACAAAATGACGTTTGAAAAGAACTACGGTGACGCAAACGTCTGAGTAAAAAWTATTTCTAGAGATTCATTATTATTCTACTCTTGAAAGCGTATTGTACAAAAATAAACCAAAATAGACTAAGATTCTCAAGTAATTTATGATCAGTGACACAAAAGCTTGGTTTGTTTTGTTTTATTTTTTCTTGGCATCAGCCRTGTTTTTGACAAGCTTTCGAATCTCGCCTTGATTCATTATCAAAAACAAAAAAGAAACGATCCAATGACAGAAAAAGGGTTTGATTTATGTAGCTGTTTATAAACGTGGGGTTGAAATGTTATCATTTTGAAATTATAATGACGTCGATGTAGCTAAAGCTGATTTTGTCATTTTTCGAATCCCGTAAAATAACTTTTTTTATAGCGAATATAAACGCATCTCTTTGACTACTTAATTAAAAGAGTTATCTTTTCAATTAATTTAAAAAAGACGGAAAGACAGGGAAAATAAAGATAGAAATAAGAGSATTTTTACGTTGTCGCATCGCGCAAGAAGCGCGCGTTGAAATCTATTAATCTGTCGCTCAAAATCACAAAAATACTTGTTCTTACCACATCAGCTGGCGCTAGTCGATATCTCAGTAAACTGAATTGTTCAAAACTCTTAGAGGATACTTTCTCTAGCCTTGAGGAACATAGACTTCTCTCCGTAGAGCTCATCTTTTACAATTGACTTGTACGTAAACACGCGTTGGACAAATTTATACGTACTATGGCACGTGACTAGTATGTGACGTACGAGTTGTCATGACATTGAGTAACCCTGAAAGTTAGCGTGGGGAATTGCGTAAAATAGCCCTAAATTGTAGGAAGAAAACCTTGGAAATAAGTATTTTCCATTTATATCTGAACATGGAGGATTATTAGACAGTAATTGTGGAAGATTCGGGATGTTTCAGATGACCGCCCTTGAATAACCTTTACGTAATTTCTCCGTTTCCGGTTTATTTTTATCCTTTGTCAAATACAGATTTGAAACAAGGAAAATATCTTCGAATACTTTATAAAAATAGCAACAACTCTTTGCTTGAAAGCCATTATAGAAACGCGTTTGTAGAAAGCGCGCATTTTTGGGCTCCTGTCATGGCCCATCCTCATTTTGATACAATGAATTTCTCGTCATTTCCTCTTTCTACTTTCCTTTTCTCTTCATTTTTTTTCTTTTTGAATTGATTTCATTTCATTCTCATTCCCACTCATGATGGTTTACACTGGGTTTCCTGTGTCACAGTAGACTCTACGATTTGTGATCAGCGGACATACGCATTAGTACAACAGATCCAAGATGGCCGTCCCAAATACTGTAGAAGTGCAATATTCAGACGATGAAAACTGGTCTTCCAAAGAGAGTGACGACGATGAAGACGAAGGTAGATGTAGAAAATTTTGTGGATAGTGTTTTKATGAGATATTTCTCTATAAATTGTTGATTATTGTTGAATTACAGTAATTGTTGTGAYGTTTGTTTAGATTGTCCACTCCACACGTGTTCACAAAATGTCGATAACTAGTTTGAAGTAGAGAAGCTTTCTGTTGGAGTTTGTTGTCTTTGTTTCAATGTATTCATACATAATAGGYTCCTATATTTGAAACTCTTTAATTGTCGTTGACATTGTTCTAGTTACAATATTAATATAGATAAAATATGTTTATAATTTGTACAAATTTTTTTGTGCAATAGGAACTCAAGGAATTAATTCCGGATGGGCAGATGCAATGGCAAAAATATTAAACAAAGACCTTCCAGATGACAAGGTATGAATATCAAAAATTTGAAAATCAACAAATACTATAAGTTCTTTTAATTTTAAACAAATAATGACTGTTAGGGGGATGGAGGYGCTGCAAAGGAAGCTACAATGATGTTTTGATGTTTTACAGCCTGTAATATTAACAAAATACAAGAAAGGAAATAAACGAAAAGCAGAACAAAAGCAAGAAATTAAACAAAAGAAGGTAAGTCAAAGCTTGTCTTGAAAATAGAAKTTGTTATAAAAAGATTTTGCATTTTCTAGATTGTTAYATAACAACACAAGAAACTTATTTTCTATTTTTTTCATACAGAGAAAAGCTGATGAACGCCATACAATGTTTGAAAACAATCATATCATCCCAGACAGATCAACATTCCCACATGATAAAGACCTCATGCGTATTGCAACCAGAGGAGGTATATCTAAATCAATCCATGCTCTGTGTGAAATAGCCTCCTCTGGGGACAACCTGCTTTTTCCACAGGGACCCCAAAGAGAGAAAACAAATTGTTGTATCAGAGGAGGCTCTTTATAGTTCAACATTCTGACTTTAGTTTGCTTTTCTTTTTCAGTTGTAAAATTATTTAATGCAGTAAATAAACATCAAAAAGATGTAGAGACAAAACTGAAGAAAGCATCAACAGAAAATAAAAAATCAAAAGGTAAAGATGAGCCTTTCATGTTTATTTGTGGAATTCCTGTGTTATATGTAGCTCAGTCTCTCACAGTCAGATGTTAACAAAGGTATCCCATACAGGGTGGATTAATTAGAGGCATTTTTTTATAGTAATAGAGTCAGTGAACAAGACAGCTTTCCTTGACATGCTGAAGGGAACAACAGATCAAAYCACTACAAATCAATACAAAAAASATAAGGTAGACAATTCATATTCATGGGCACCCTGTACTTATTACACAGGAAGCCCAATTTACCAATTAGKTCAAATTGTGAATGCAATGTTTATGGTAACAGGATAAGAAAACCAAATCTGACCAATCAGAGAACAGTTCYTGGAGTATTTTACAAGATGATTTCATGATGGGAGCAAAAATGAAGGACTGGGATCGAGAGGAGGAAAATACAAAAAGTAACAAAAAYGCTGGTTTACAAGATTTTGAACTTGGAAATGACATAACAGATYATGATGATGATGATGATGATGATGATGATGGAAYRTCTTCAGAATGACAAACATTAYGAAAAAAATGACTTCACATTCAAACAGAAATTAATTTTGTCATTATAAACTTACTACACACTACTGTGTGATTTGAAACACAACTATGAATATATTTACAAAACTATTTTTCACATTTTTTTGAGATATAGTCATTTGTCAGTGCATGTGACTGTTGTCGTGGTGACCCTTGAACGTTACCATGGAAACAAGTCGTCAGAGAGTGCGCGTGCTAGTTCTGTTCTGTAGTGGAAATTTTGCCGTTGATGACATTTTATACTTTCACCAACTGCTGGAACAAAAACCATGGAATTGTAACCTAGTATGTTTCCATGGAATCAGTACTACGACATTAGTTATCGTTTATTTCTATAGCAACAGCAACCATGGTGATGATTTCTATGGCAACTCTATATATGGTGATAAGAATCCATGGTGATTCACGGTAGCTATGGTAACGCTTCGTCATATACYATAACGTAACCGTAACGATGGCAATGTTTCTCCGTAGCAACGCCTATTACATCATATATCTGTTGTGTTCTGWCATTTTTGACATCATCATTTCCTCGTAATCGTCCACGCATAGAATGCGATTGTTGAATAAATAAAACTTGTCGCCAACGCAGAATCGTTGGCTACATCGCTGACATGAAAAACATTCAAGATGGTAGACGTTATCGCGGGCTCGCATCACCATTTCAAAGGCTGGAATGGCTTTACTGCACACTGCACAGAACCCCCGGTTKCCAAACAACCTGTAAGAAAATAGAAATTCTCATCATGTACCGAATAAGCTCTTGGGGACCAGAAWTGCCGTTATGTGGCAGGATTTTTCAATCAATTATGAACGTGACCGCTGACAAAATCTGCGCTGGGATCCAAACTCATTTCTGCATGCTAATTGGTCTAATAGAGGCAGTCTACTGTCTAGAACATAAATTAGTTAAGTGTAATTAGTCAACTGTGCCGCAKATTTTAGGTAAATTACGATGCGTCGGGTCCACGCAGGAATCTCTTTTCTTTATTAGGTAAAAAAGGGGGCCCTTAAGCAGGCCGGCAAGTTTGCGCAACAATCACTCCATGTATATTAGGTAGCTTGGCGAGAGACTTTAATGATTATAATACATGTATAAAGCCTAACCACACACCTCGTCTTGCGGGATATAATTTGTCATTTTTCACCGTAGGAGGGAAGGGTGGGGAAGTGTTCATTAACCTCGCGCAATGTTTTCATTATAGACATTCATTACATGTAGTCTAGTTCTCTGTTAACACTAGACCAATAACTAGCAGCTTGGTATGTTGGTTATCASATCGGATCTGATTCTTTTCACGGACCTTTAGCCTTTGTCAATTGCGTGTCTATGAGAGAAAGGGCCCCGCCTGAAGCGAAGACTGTTGATTTTGCGTTGATTTTTTAGCTTAACAACACCGTAACGAATTCCTTTTGAGAAAAGGTTATGTCAACGTTTATTTCAAGCCTTCCTCTCCCTCGCTCTTCTTCAGCAACTACGGCAAACTATCGCCAGCATAGATCCGAAATAAAAACACATTATGATTTACGGGTACTTTTTCATAAAATGCTTGATTTGCAACAAGGACTAGCGGTCAACAATAAGGAAAAGGGCCTGHGTTTGAGGTCACGTGTTTAGGTAGTAATTTCACGCGAAATTAGATCACACAAGTCTTTGCGTGCACTGATATGATATCTTCATTACATCATGGCCATCGCTAAGGCCCCACACACTACAATACAAGGTGACGCCCTGTGGTCTTATCTTCTTAGTTTAAAAACTTTTCTGCTAGTGTAAGCCGTTGTACTACTTGTTCTTTTTGTCATACGCAGCGTTATCGTTTTCACTTTTGTGGAAATAAAAGCGTTTCCTTTTAAGATTGATGTTTGAAGGCTAACATCCACTCAATGGCCATTCTATAGGCTAATGGTGGGCGGGAACTGGACTTTTGAAAAAGTGGTAGTAGATTGGACTGAACTTGTTGGGTCAACAATGACAAAATCCTAGCTTAACGATTGTTAATACTCCAATTTCGAGTTCTGGTTTGCTCTGTGTTAGCCTCAAAACCAAGTAATATATTCATTTGTTCCATAGATAGCTCGAGAAAACGCATGGAATTTTGTGAAGAAAGACAATAGAATTGATTTAAAATCTCACACTTTTATTCTCACAATTAGGAATATTTTGCGCACAAATGAGGCTAACACAGAGCACTGGAGAATTCGAAACTGGAGTATTGGTACACATGCAAGAAACTGAATTAGAATTCAATTATAATGATTTTATACCGTTCTAGCTTTTCATAGCGGACAGAATGGCGGATCCATTTCTATACCGATTAATCGGTTTGATTTGCAGCTGACCGCCTACAGCTGTGCCTCGTCGACCTCCAGGCATCCATATCGGCCTGAGGTTGTTGTTTTGGTATCTTGATTAGTTTTGATGGAATTAATCTCATTAGAAAATACCACGTCTGTATTGATAAAAACAGTTTATTGCACGCAACAATAATTTATAATAATAACATCCTACATAGCTCTTTTCATCCGGTACCGGGGATTTTTAACCGGAGTTTCTTAACAGGGGAAAAAATTATAGATACGACGCACCGAAAAATAGCGGTATTCTCCGGATATCGGAAATTTGTAGATTGGAAAAGTTACAAGGCGGTAACTTGTCCCGGGGCATGCATCTTTTCATTATATTTCAACTGTTTGATTAGAAACCCCGATGAAAACAACACAAGTTTCTATATTTTCAATCCAAATCAATCAAAAACTGCTGAAGAGACGACCCTTCACTTGCAACAGAGMGAAAATCAATTGAAAGCTTGATAAATAGGTTTGATAAACAGGTTTGACTGGTTTAATGACCACCTTGATATCGTTTTAAAGTGCCTCACTCAAGTTGAGAGAAAATAAAATATTGTGTTTTAATTTTCGATCAAGGCTGTCAAAACAACATYCTCTCATAACAATAAAAAAGACTTTTTTATTATTTTTACCCCTTATTTCAACAAGTGGCACTTATAGTTTAATTGAATCCGTCAGTGATTGAAACAACTTTGCTCCTAGACAATCGCTCGCGGTGAATTGGCGTTTTACTTTCTTGAAACAATATTGGTTTTCAAATGATGTCTAGGAATCCGTTGAGTAGCATTGGGTTTACTTTTTTCAGCATTGATATAGCAGTATTTTGTGGCACTGAAAGTAATTCTCAGCATTGAAATGGCTTTTTGTAACATTGAAATGGCTTTTGTAACGTTGAAATGGCTTTTTGTAACATTGAAATGGCTTTTGTAACGTTGAAATAGCTTTTGTAACATTGAAATCGTGGTTGTAACATTGAAATGGCTTTTTGTAACATTGAAATGGCTTTTTGTAACATTGAAATGGCTTTTGTAACATTGAAACGTGTGTAACTTTTTATGATATTCTATACTCTGTCGCAACCAACTAACTTTGTGTTAGTTTGTAACATTGTTTTCAACATAATGGATTATACCAGTTGCTCTGTAATGACTGTAAGTCTAATTATGGATTGCTCAATATATTGTTGCCAAGTAATCTATTTCCAAATTAAAAAACATTTTCCTCAGCATAACTGCGGAGTTTTGCAGAAAAAGTTCTCTTCTGGCTTGATTGGTTTTTATAGTGGATGAAAGATCTACTTCTAAGTTTCAGCGATCACTTAAGACATGCCATTGGTCCTTTTAGATAGTAGCCTCCGTTGATCTCTTCTGTTTTGAGATTTCTATTTTTGTTYCAAGTAAATCTGGAACATCTGATGAGAATTTCCGCTAAAAGTTTGTTTATTTATCAACTTGCAACAATAAAACAATGATCTCAGCACGAAAACATCATTAACCTCGTACTAAGAACACGACATCCAAAGGGTTTCCTGACCGGACATTGAAATGGATTCTGACATTCGAATGGCTTTTCGGCAACACTGTCGGTGTCTCAATCTTCTAAATGTATGTGCAGAAACATGCTCCATAACATCGGAATGCGCAATTTTTGATGTGAGTGGCTTTAGCTATTACACCTTGACCCTTAAATGGGTTCAACAATGACATAGTTTATTACGCAAGTGACACATTGTCCCGTAGGCATTGAAATGGTTTCCTTCCTGACATTCAAATGATTCTTTCTTGACACTGAAGCGATTTTCCAATCTCTTTCTTAAAATATACAGGAGAAATTTGACGTAAACTATGACAGAGCTTTTACCATCAACAAATACCAGCACTCGACCATGCACTTGTGCGGACGAGTAGAGTATAGTATTTTCCAAAGGACAAAACGTGAWCGCCCAGTCCGTCAGGGATATATTACCTTAAGCATTTTAATATGTGGGGGTTTTACGACACTCGACATTCTTTTTTTATTCATCGTTAAATTGGCATTATGCACTGTAGTGGTTTTCTACTTTGGACATTTCAAAAGTGGCTGTTCGCCATGGCACTTGAATGGCTTTCTGAACTCTCCAGCGCGTCTAAAATGAGATACCTATCGTTTTTTGAGGTCGGAACGGTCGGATTACCCGGGTGACTGTCCCATAGAGTGGCGGTTTTATGCATTTTTCGATGACTCAATTAATCGGGATTTAAGCGTTTTTAAACGCCACAAAAATGTTCTTCAAACTGATAGAATCTTTTTCTGGAAGTCATTGAATGGAAGGCCGATCAAACATTCTAGAATTACAAGGGCAGTTCGATCGACTGATAACTGGGTTAGAGAAGTTGTGTTAGAAGCCACGGTTGTAACAAAAACCATTGATACAACTAACAGAACAATTTGCACTGCTGTGTAAATCTACTGTTATCTTGCGTGTTTGTTTTACTAGTTATTCAATGTTGAGTGAAGTTTTTAAAAGCAGTGTTTTCAGTTGCGTGAACTGTCTACAGTGTTAGCTAATCCATGTAGCATATTAATAACAGATATTTGATCTACGTTAAGATAGACTAATGCAGCRATTTTCTAAAGTTCGTCTCTGTTTATATTACTAAGAAGTATAAATCCAATCGGTAAATAACGCTTTACTCACCGTAAGTAATCACGCTTACACAGAATCAGCTCAGCTTTAGTATAGAGCGTCGAGCCAACCTCACCCAGTCTGCACTCACAACAAGAACACTTTAGACAATCCTCGTGCCAATAACGATCTAATGCTTTGAGTAAAAACCGATCATTGATTTTCATTCCACATCCACCACATACTCGTTTACCAGGCGGGTCTTTGTATAAATCACATTTTGTGGTAGTAGCTGCAAAGAGAAATGTTTTCAAGTTCATCTGGACTTGACCCATACATGAACGAAACATTGCGCGCACTAGTCAAACAGATTTTCGCACGAACTAGAAACTTTCCGTAACTCACCATTAGCGTCYGTACAATGATATCCATAGAAACGTTTGAAAAACGTGCGATCATTGCGCCGTACTGCGCGCAACTACTGCAACTGCTAAAGTTGACAATTCATGCCAAAACAATCTTCCAGTATGTGATTGCTATGATACTGTTAAATTTGATTTATTTGATGCAGTATTCACCTCAAAATAGACGTCACATCGGTTATATCAGAGAGCGATACGGGCTATTATGATAACCCAGTGAATATACTTACACATGACTTAAAGATGGCTTTAGAATCAAGTTTCCTTTTGGTGCACCGATTGTTCGTTCTTGCAGTGTGTCTCAAGATGATTGATTTTGGTTGGAACTGCTTAAGCAAGAGTTCTTAAGACAAACGGSWGAAGTACATACAAACCGGTACTCACCAAGACTAAACATGAACCTTGCATATTTATCAACGTATTTCCTGCTTTTAGGAGTCTGTCAATTAATTATACGCGAGATTAACGGCTCTCTTTGTTACGTATAGATTGACATTTCATATTGTATGCCCTCTAGGGTGAATTAATTCCAGTATTGACCGCACTTTGGGGGATATCACTTTAATTGCATAGCAATGCGATTACTTTATTCTGATGGTTTAACCATCCTAGAACGGGATCTTCCTCGATCGGGTTAAAATTCGATGATATCTGATGGTATTTGGAGTCAAATTAGTTGTATTTTCTATAGCTATCATTAATGTGAGAAATCCCACCGAGAAAGTCAATATTTTGACGGGCATTATTAAGATGTCTAATGGAAGATGATTTACAAGGCTAAGAGTGAAAGCGATGACATACGCTATCCACGGCACAACATCAACATGAAAGTCTCTARAACAAAAACACTTCAAACTCACGATCCTACCTCACGTCTTGACAACCACTAGAGTCCTACTAACATCAAGAAGATTAAAATACTAGAGAAGAATAGAGAAGACATCAGTGTTTTGTATTCGTGCAGTCGAGATTTATACGCCATTTTGAATAAATTAATCGCGACGCGCTTTAATGTCAAGTGCAACAAAACCAAGTAAAGCTGATCCAGATTTAATGAAATTCTTTAATGATGAGAAACTTAAAAGACTAAAGCACTTTGTAATACTATCGCTAGATCAAATATCCGTCCCATCATGGTTGGGTCCCCGTAGCACCTGCGTCACATCCGTGTAGTTTCAACGAACGACGGAGCCTAAAATGCTACAAACATGCKTTTACTTACAATTGTTGTCATTCTTCTATGTGCTTCTTTTAATGATCTGTATCTATGTTGACGCTATTTTAGTACAATGATATATACCAAAAAAGCACGAGTAGTAAGTGAAAACGTTTTGGCTACGTTGTTACTGTGCGACAAAAAGGATCAACAGGCTGTTCCTTTTGCGATATCTCTGTGGCTTATTGAAAAATGAAAAAAAAGCACATTGTAATGCGCATCGCTACATTTTTGYGGTGTCGTTAGTGAAAGATCGCTTTGCGGTATTTCATTTCAATATTTTACGGGTATTTCTGGTCACACAGTGGTAATTAATAGACACACAGGAAAAACCACTAAGAAACACTGCTCAATGATATGATTAAATTAAGCAGCTTGGCGAATTAGACGAACAAATCCTGTTGGATTATGTCCCCACATTCACGAAGTCTATCTCACGGGTTAAGGTGACTTCAACTCGGTTCTGAATCGCGTGAGTTTACTATCATAATTCATAACTAGAGACGCAAGTAGCAGGAGTAGARCCTTTGAAATTAGATTTTTTGAAGTGCCTCAGGGCTAATTTTAAAAGCCTAAAGTCATCTAAACCATGGAATGATGATGGGGTTAGATGGTTATCACTAACGGTCGGCTCAGCCAAAACTCAGCTGCGCGCTCACACCAAACTACACGTTAGCAATCGTTCCATCAAATATAAACAGTATTAATTAAGAATTACAATAATCACCGACGGTTAATTGGTACTTGTATTTTCTTTGGCAGGATTCCTTGCATTCCTGGTAAGCTTGCACAAGAATGCGTACAGATGAATGTGCAGCCACGCCATTTTCTCGCGCAGAGCATGACGGTAATGCCCATAAAATACTCCGCAAAATCTGTTTTCGTGTTTTGGCTGAAAAAAATGCATGTGATTTGCCGTTTCTGTACATTTTCGTGTTTTGGCTGAACAAAAATGCATGTCATTTTGTCGTTTCTGTAAAAGAAAAACAAAAACAATTTGGAGGACGATTTTCGTGGACATGCATTTTCATGCGAGACATCTCCCAGCATGCCTTGTTGTACAAAATGGCGTCAAAATGACAGTTCAGTTCGTGTGAACAAACGAATCGAGCAAGCAATATAGAGTTAAAGCTCTTAAAGGAATTATTACTAGAAGAGAAAGATTAAGCCAACATACATTTTCGAATTAATGACAATTCACTATGAGTTTATTGTTAAATAATCATACTATTATTAGATTTCATCTAACAAGTTCCTATATTATATTTTTAAGACCTCTGGTGCKACTGCTGATTGGACCGAAAGCGATCACAAAGTTTCAGTCTCCGTTGTGATATTCTCTTTCGGTCTAGTCGAGTTGAGGTGGGGCTGACCTGAGACGAGGTTTGATTGAATGACGTAAGGATTCAAAACTAAGATAAATAYRATTACACAAACATCCTAATATGCAAACTGATGACACACAGGGTCCCCGTGAGTTTAGTCTAAGCATAACACAGCTGCRCCGCACCCTGGTTTGGTGGCAAATAATGCTTCACTAACTCTCTCTTGACGACGAGGCGTAGCGGAGTAGTAGGATTTGGTAACCTTTGATATAAAGTCATCTACTGCATCTGCGCGGACCATGTGAACTGTGCAACCACCCCATCCTGCTCCTGTAAGCCTGGAACCAAGGGAACCAGCCTCTCTACAAAGGCAAAAAAGACTGTTACCATCTTTTGAATTAATTTATTGATTGACTGACTGATTGATTGATTGATGACTGATTGATTGATTGCCTGACTGACTGACTGATTGATTGATTGATTGATTGATTGATTCATTAGTTGGTTGAGTGATTGACCTGGTGTTGTATAGATTGAGGATGGATGGAATAATTCATTTGATTATTGTCATAATTTCTTCACCTGCATGCTGCAATAAGTTCATCCAGTTCATCACAACTGCATTCATACAGTTTACTACAGCTCTCATGGCTCTCATTCATCAGATTACCAAGAACCTACAGCAGGTTAACAGGCAGTCAAATCAGTTAACCCCAAATGTTGGATATTATGGTACAGCCACCTCAACTACACATCACAACAAACACTGTATTGCTTTAATGAGCAATAGTCTCCTTCACGGTTCTTTGTGTCATCTTGAAAGGTAGCCGTGTGTTTACATCGAAGGGAGACAACCGTTGAGCATGCAATGATAGAAACCTTTCACACCAACAGACAATTATTTACAGGTATCTATCATTGCACGCTCAACGGTTGTCTTGCTTTGATGTAATGGCACGACTACAGTACCTTTCAAGATGGCGCAGGGAACACCAGTGAGATAAAGACAACAAACATTATTGATCATCATATCAACACTGAATTATCAAGTAGAGAAATTATAGCAAACATTGATACATTACTAGATCATTTGAAAGTCAACTTTCAAGGAAATCAAAGATTTATATTCTAAACTTCTATAGTTTTCAGCAAATCTGCTATCTGTTAAATGCTGTAACATCATAAATTACACCATAAGTCTGTCACATCTTTACCTCTATAGTATTTTTRGGTCMTTCACTACAAATCTGTTTAAACTTAAGYACACGTCCTGCTTCTGAATACACATGTTTGGCGCGGTGATGGAGCTTAAAGGTTTTAACTTCAGCAGTTGATGGACTTAAACATTCATCAACAAGCTGTTTTTCCTATAWAACAAAATAAAAACCAATTTACTGATAAGGRTCTCTGGCAGTTGCCTCACTTGRAAAGTTTTCTGCTTTTGTATGCTTACTGTCATATCAAAGAACTTGCAGAGCTCTTCTTTGGAATATGGATCTTTCTTGAGAACTGTGTCTACCAGCTCAACCCTGTAAACACGAAGAATATTTGATCATGTATTCTAGAGTGTTTAATCACTAATACTTTCTAGAATGTTTGATCATTGCATAAATGTACTTACTCTATAATATTGTGATACATGCATTCATGTGATTCATGCATTCATGCTTATCATTGACACAATCATGTATTCTAGAGTGTTTAATCACTTATACTTTCAATTCTAGAATGTTTGATCATTGATAAATGTATTCTTGAACATGGTCTTGTACTTACATGTCATCAAGTTTAACATTTAATTTGTCTTGGACATCACTAAGACGTTTCACCTTTTGCCATTCCAGGTCTTTGGATTTTGCTAAATACTAAGTAAAGGAATAAAAATGTGCATTTACAAACTGAAGAGGAGTAAAAAAAGAGTGAATGCAAAAAGAAAATAGTGGAATCGAAAGAAAATAGTGAAACAGAAAGTGAAGGAACAAAGGAGTACCTTTGCTGCTAATCGACATTCAACTACACGGACATTAAAATGTGTTCCTGCAGTTTCAGATTTCTTCATTTCAACCTGGAACAACAACCTTGATATTAGGTATTCTAGAATGTTTGATCATTGACAATTAAATCCTATGATCAATCTTACCAAACTATTGGCAATAACAAATGCAATGCCATCAGGAAGTTGAACATCGCTTGTTCTTATTGGGTTGAACTCAATATGCTTGGCCTTGAAAGAAATAGAAAACTTACTAACTTTGAATAACAGCTTTACAATGATAATGWTGATGACGAGAAAGGATGTCCGATATCAAGCAAACGATAACAGTGACACATTGGTATCAATGGCGAATGATGATAAAAAATGTTGCAACAATAAGGAATAAGTCTTCATAATAATTATAATTATTCAATATTAGATAACTTTCAGTAATCTTACTCACAGTTCCTCMTTCAGCTAAGAAGGAGGCTGATTGGTCCATTCTACAACACAGCAATAATGGAAATATATTAGTGATAATCACTAAATATCAATAAAAATAAATGTCATCTTACCCTCCACCTTCAGTGCCAATATAACGTTCACACTTTGTACAAATTTCAGCCAATTCATGCTAAAAGAATAGTCATAGTGAAAYTCATGATTGGGGCAAAGAATAAGTGACCAAACTCATTTAAAGGCCCTTGAGTAAGGAGTGAACTGTAGACCGTTAAGGCTGATTTACAAGGCACGATTGTCTCGTGCGATTTGTAGTATACGACTTGAATCGCGCAGTGAAAATGCCCCTACGACTTGTCTACAACAGTCGTACGCAAACCTACGACTTGTAGTAGGATTTTGAACCACTGCTTAAAATCCTACGACTTGTAGTAGGAAAATCGTATACTACAAGTCGTACGCGACAAATCGTACTGTGTAAATCAGCCTTTATAGTAGTTCCTAGGAATCTGACAATGGAACTAATAAACAAATGGATGAATGAATGAAATAAAAAAATGAATGGATGGAAGGCAAATAAAAGAAATGAAAAGAATATCAGAATAGATTGATAAAAGGAAGATGAAAAGAAAGACTGACTGACTCACCTTGGATAGTTCTAGTCCATTGACATGTAGTGTGGCTAAAGCAGCACAACAAACCAAAGCTGAAGAACTTGACAACCCTGCACTCTATAATAACATGATAAACTAATGCATCACCTTCTCAACTTGTCAGTCGGCGGTGACTAACATAATTACAGTCTACATGTGCATATATCATGATGATGAGTATAGTCTCCTCTGTACTCTTTCTAATACTCTTGGACTGCCTGTCCTCCTCATGACAGAGGGAGACTATGTCCAGACATTTCAGCTAATAGGATACCACAGGGATCAGAAAAGAGCAAAGTATAAACTGCATATGGAGGAAGATGATGATGATGATGATAATAATGATGATGATGATGATAATGATGATGATGATAGTGATGATGATGATGATGATAATGATGATGATGATGATGATGATGATGATAATGATGATAGTGATGATGATAATGATGATGATAATGATGATGATGATGATGATGATGGGGATGATGATGATAGTGATGGACAGGTACCTTTGGTACAGACCCATTGACTATGGTATTCATCCCAACAGGATCTAATACTGGTGCTCTATTTTCCTCCTCATTTGGATCAACAATACCCTAGAGAAACCAGCACAGTTTAACATTATAAAAACACAGAGAGAGGGAGGAAAGATGTTGGAGGAGCTCTCATTATATTGTAGTATATATGATGCAGGGAAGAAAAAATTTTTGTAATTAAGAACAATCAATCTCTGGTTGATACAGAGTTCAATATCTGTCCTTTTAGTGTTGTCACGTTCTCTAACCATGTACCTTGTATCCACATAGAAAGTAATGATACCATTCTTTCCCATCTATTTGATAATCAAGGGTGTCTACACTGAAATCCCTGCCGACAAACGAAAAAATAATTGGTGAAACAATCAAGAAATTTAAACCATTAGCACAGGGTGTTTTTTTCCTATTTTTCACACATGTTTCTTAATCCATAAAGTTTTACACATTTACCATTCATTTACACTAATCTTTCAGCCATGTCAACTTAACAAAAGTCACTAAATATGAAAATCCTGTGAAAGCTACACACAACTATTCCATGCTGAAATTACATTGTTTGGAGCCTGTCCACCGAGTAATGAACAACTCCTGTGAATAATACCCATCATAGAGCATGCAAAAACAAATTGGCTYCAAATAACAGTCTAGTAGATGCTATACTTACTCAAAGTTTGAATCTGAGTTAGAAATGTGAAGCATTTTATCAGTGTTGGGGCTGGCRGCAATCATAATATCCTGATCTATGGCCATTGGTAGAACTCCATATCCGCAATAGTCAATATGCTCGCCTAATCCAAAAAATAAACAATAATAAGTTACAGTGTAATTATGGATTTGCGCATCTTATTTCTTGACCGGTTTTCCCTCTCTAGCATCCTCTGGAGGTTCCATGCTTTCAGATGCTGGGTTTCCTGTGGCAAAATTTGGAAGGGTAGAGACTGAAGAGGAGAACAAAGAAAAT